TATATATAATATAGACCCCATATTATTAATATTTTATTAAATTATATTAATATTTATAAAAACTTTTTAAAAATCTAAACAAATTTGTCTAGAAAACAGTTTAAAAGATAACATAAACTTTTAGCCAAAATAATAGTATTATCACCTACTAGGTTTTTCTGCCTCTTATATAAAGAATACTGAACTATATAACTTATGCTTCTATTTAATAACTACTATTTTGCTAGGTTTCTTAGAGTTGTAAATTATTTTGTAATAAAAAATTTTTGCTCTATAATAGTTTAGGTAATCAGCAGAGAGAGTTTTGTGAACATATATTTTTTTCTTTTTAACTATATTATTATTTTTATTTGAGTTTTTTTTTATTTAACAGAGTTTCTTATTTATATATTCTTTTTTTTCTTTTATCTTTTATTGATACTAGTTTTCTTTTCTGTTTAGTCAAGTATTATCTCTTTTTATTTTTAAATTATACTACTTATTAAATACTTGCTTTTTTAGTTTAGTTATATATAATAACTCTTTTTTTTTGTATCTTTTCAACTCTTACTTCTTTTTCTTTTTTTTGGTTTTGTATAGCTTTTTCTTTTTTTAGATTTTTTTTATTTTTTTCTTCTAATATTAAATTTAGCTAGTTAAATTTATCTTTTTTTTTTTACAATTTTGTCTTAACTTCTTTATATTCTCTTTTGCAGTTAAAGTAAATAATATACTATTAGTTTCTGTTTGCAAATTTTTCTTGTATTGCTTTGATATATTTGTTTTCTCTTAATGATTATTTAATTGACTTTTCTCTTTACTCTGCATTATCTTCTAAAATTTTAACTACTACTACTTTTACCTTAATCTCTTCTTTATTTTTATATATTTTAGAATTAAGTACCTATATACTGCAGTTTAATAATATACTACTATATCTTAATTTTTTTATTTTAGCTAATTATTCTAGTCTTTTTTCTATTTTGTTCTTATATAAATAAATCTCTATACTATTTTCTACAAGTTAAATATCTTTTATAGTTTTTAGTACTTTAGCTCTTTCTATTTTTTTTATTATACTATTTGCTTTTTCTTGATATTATATGTTTTGCTTTATATTTTTGTAAAGTTTTATTTCTTTTACTTTATTTGTTTTTATTACTATTGTTTTTTCTATTCCTACTTCTACTTCTTTAATTACTTTATTAATCTTTTTTTGTTGTATAGTTGTTAACTCATTCCCTCTATTCAAAACCTTTTTAACTTTATCTATATTTTCTGTAAAAGTAGCTTTTTTTAATATAATATACTACTGTCTTGCTAAAGTAATAAAATTCTTATTGATATTTATTACTTTTGTTATTATTTTATCTAAGTGATCTACTGGTTCTAATACTGATATACTACCTTTTTAAATATTTTTTTTTATTTTTTTTTAATTAAAGTAGCTTACTATGCCAATCAGATTTTATTAGTTAATATATGAGATCATCTATTAACAATCTTCTACAGTTTGGAATTATATGAAGAGTATACAATCTGCTATATATATAACTTTAGTTATTGTCTAATTTAAGTAATTTGCTATACAGGTAGATTCTCTGTTTGGTTCTACATAAGCTACTATATTCGTAACTCACTTATAAGTTATTTATTTAAATACTCTATTCAACTAACTCATACTTGAATCAACTAACATTACTATAATATCTAATTACTTAAGCTAGCTAGTTTGTATATTACTTAATATATTGTGAGCATGCAGAGCTCTGTTTAATCTTGTAAGTATTCTTACTAGTATAGTCTATGCCTATTTCACAAATTCATCTAGCTTAGATTCTTGTGATATTTGTATAACTCTAGTTCCTACTATAGCTTTCTAATGATATTGTTTGCTAATTTCTTCAAATATTTCACAAGGTAGATCTTTCTAATTTAGTTAGCTACTAAGCCAAGTTGGTGTTGCTAATCCTCCTTATAGAATAGACTTACTTGTACCTAACTTGATCTATATCTTTTGAGCAGCAGTTTTTATTCAGATTAAGTATTAGCTGGTATAACTGTTGAAAGCTATACTACCTCACTAACTCTAGGTTTCTACTATACAAGTCTTCTGCTTATAGATTCTATTAAGATTTATTTATACAATATTATCCCTTAATTTGTAACATAAGCAAATTTGCTTGTATTTATTTTTAATTTTTGGAATTTTTAAATAATACTTTAAATATTAACTTTAAATATATATTTTTTAAGTAAAATATATTTTTTAATATTTATTTTAACAACTTTGTTAAGAAAGTTTTTTAAAATTATTATAAAACTTTTGAGTAATAAATCTTTAAAGTTTTGCTTTAAAAATTTTTACTATAGTGCAGATAACCTAGTCTCGACAAATAAAATTTTCTAACGGCCAAATTTGAAATTTTACATAATACAGCCAAATTTAATATTTTCATTATATGCAGCCAAATTTGATATTTTTATTATATCTGGCCAAATTTGATATTTTCATTATATCTGGCCAAATTCAATATTTTCATTATATCTGGCCAAATTCGATATTTTCATTATATATAGCCCAATTCGATATTTTCATTATACATATATACTAAATTCGATATTTTTATTACATATACGTATATGCCAAATTTATTTTATCTTGTATCATAACAATAATATTAAGAATATAAATATTGCTAGGAGAATAAAAATTTAGAAATTTAAGTTTATAACTTACTGAATCTAGTCTCTAAAAATATTTAATCAGTAATATATAATAAGTAATTGCTTATTAGACTTTTTTCAGAGTTAAGGCTAATAAGTTATAGACTTAAATTTCTAATATCTTATTTTCTCCTTAGGGTTACATATACAACGCATCAATATTAATTTCAGCAAATTTGAATTAAATACAGAGTAGTCACTAGACTAGAGATTGTCCTATAACTAGTTATGAAATAATTTATGGCTTAAGCCGTAGCATCATTGGGACATCATTAGAACGTCATTGGAACATCATTAAGACAATTCTACACTAGACATTAAATAATAAACTATTTTTCCGAAATCTCTAAACAATGACATAATTCCAAGCATATTAATATACTTTAAATATTAAAATTCTATTGCATATTTTACCTCCTTTTATAATATCAATTTTTGATTTCTCACTTTATATCAGTTTATTTATTTAATAATAACATTTGAAATACCTAAAAAAATACTTGAAAAAAAGTATTACAGCTATTTTTCGATTGCTTTCTAATGTATTAGTTATGCTAGTGACTTTGATATATAATGTGATTTAACTTAAAATGTAAAGTAATTTAAACCATATAATCAAATAACAAAAAAAAAAGATAAAACTAATTAAGCACATTCTGAACTTTGAATTCATAAGAAAAAAATAAAGAATAGCAATATTTAAGAAAAAAAAACTCCCTACTACGCTATTCAAAGTCTGCTATATTAATTGTCTAATGACGTAATTAAAAGTTAAAAAATAATTAAATAAATAATTACTAACAATTCAGATAAAATTGACTCTCTGAGTTTCTCTGTAATAAAGTGATTTCAAATAAAAACTAAAATTATTTTGAGTGTTTGATTGATAGTAATAGTATGCCATGCCCAACAAGCAATCAAAAAAAATCAAAGAAAGCCTATGAGGCAAAAGAACATAAGCATAATATTGATGCTAATAATTCTGAATCAGAAAATTCTAATAACTTTTCTTATGATGAAGCAGTTGAAAATAACAATGCTGAAAGTATTATAAAAAGATTTCAAGCTACAGCAAACAACTATTATAGCAACAATAATATGCTAGAAAATTATGATAATGAAAGTCTTTTTGCTCATAATGAGCTAATTGAGATTGAGAATGATAATGCTGAAGGCTTTGTAAAAAAACTTTTAAATACAGCAAATATCTTTTATCATGAAAATGATTCCAACAAATCCCGTAAGTTACGCTACTTAGGAAACTCAATTCGTACTAAAAGAAGAAAGAAGTAACAACAGCGTGAAGTAGCAAAAGGAACACCTACATTGTTTACCTTTTGGAATCAAGACAAGACTGTTGAAGAAGATGTTGAGGCAGAATTGTCTGACGATGAATGGCTGGATGAAATCGATAAGATGATACTGAAAGACTATCAGAAGATGAAATTGAAAACTCTAATTGGCATAAAAAAATCAAAACTACACTTGAAAACATAGTATTAGATATCAAAAATGAGAATGTAAATAGTGAAGTTTGGATATGTCTTAATAGTATTCGATTTTATTTTCAACTTATAAAGCACAATTATCGGAAAATGGAAGCAAGTAAGATAGTTGCAGATGCAGCAGGAAAAGAAGTATACCATGCTAGGTATATTCGTTTTTGGTCACATGAGTATGTTACGGCCTGCCAGATTCCTTATTCACGCCGAGGACACCATGCTAAGACATGGAGCTTTCTTTGGGATGAAGATATTCTTCTTCAAATCAAATCATATGTTTGATAAAATAAGTGGAATATTACTCCACATATGATTATGCTACAAATAAATGATGTTATTTTACCAGAGCTCAGATTTGCACCACTACTAACCATTTCTCTTAATACTGCAAAAAATTATCTGAAAGAGCTTGGTTATGTATATGAAAGAGTAAAAAAAGGGATTTATATTGATGGACATAAAAGAGAAGAAGTAGTAGCCTATCGAAAAATATTTTTAGAACGAATGAGTAAACTTGAACCTAGAATGTCTGTATTTTCAGGTGATAATATGGAAGTAGAAACCTGACCAGATAGTAGTATACAGCCCCTTATTCTTGTTACACATGATGAATGCATCTTCTCAGCTTATGATGGAAGTTGAAGTCTCTAGATTCCTGAAGGAGAACAACCGTTAAGAAAAAAAGGTGAAGGATGTTCAATTCATGTTAGTGAATTTCTTATGGATGTTCGTGGCCGACTTTTGCTTCCTGAAGAAATGCAACTATCAGATACGCTTCCTAGAGAAACTTGTGTTATTATATGCTCTGGTAAAAACAATGATAGATAGTGGAAATCTAAAGATTTGATTGAACAAGTATCAAATCGTGCTATTCCTATATTTGAAGCCTGTTTCCCAAGATGTCAAGCATTATTTGCTTTTGATAATATAAAAAGTTATACTTCTTATGCGTCTGATGCACTTGTTGCAAAAAATATGAACCTTAGTTCTGCTAGCAAACAAGAAAAAATACGCAGCATATCATATTTTCGTGAGGGAATAAAATATG